GAACAGTGCAAGGTTGGTTTTGATTTAGTCTTTACTAGATAGAAATTTTTGTACTCTCTCATTTGTAATTTGTAATTCTTTTTACTTTACTTTTAATAAAGATTGTGCAAAGCTACCGCACGTTAAAAAAAAAAAAAAAAAAAAAATAATAAATTCTTATTTATATGTAAAGTATAATATATGATTTAATTTATTAAATGCAAAAATAAAATTAAGATCAGAATTAATAATAAATGTATAATTTTTATTGTAATATCTGATATAAGATTTTAACTTTTTAAAATTTCTAATATTATTTTTTAATAAGTTTAGCTGAATTTTTAATATCTAAAAATTTAGATATTACTAAAATTTATTTTTTAATTTGCCAATTTTTATTAATATAATGAACTGTAAATAAAATATAACTAACTTTTCTATAATTATCTGTTTACATATCAGTAGTAAATACATCACCTATAATTTTAAAATATCTTTTAATTTTAATATTAAATTTGATTTAACAGATTTTACATTTTTAATAATATTTCTGAAAATAGTAGTTACAGTTTCTGCCAAAAGTAATGGTAGTAGAAACATTATTTCATTTTTTAACTGCAGCATTTCCATTATTCTAATTTGATCTATTATTTATTAAGCTAAATTAAGTATTAGAATGTTTATTAAAAAACAAATAAACAAAAAACGGGTTTCAAAATATTTTTTTACTTATCTTTATCAAAATGCAATTGACATCCATAAAGAAAAGTCATGAAATTGTAAAGTTTCTTTGAAATAAAAATATTTGTAATGCAAGAGACATTTCTACCTAAACTGGAATTTTCTTACGTTTTTATGAAAGATATATTGTTTCTTTGTAAAAAAATGTAATATTCCTGACATTTATCAATCTGGCTGATCACAAAAATTGACTTCTAAAAAATACTGCTAAATTAAAAGGATCATCAAGTATGATCATTTCACTATAGTAGGAGAATTAAAAGTCATATTTGAAGAAAAGGATATAAATTTGAAGGACAGTAAAATAACTATCTAATGAGAACTTTATGATCTTAGTTATATATCAGTTTTTTCCTAGAAAGTTCCTCTATTGACCCAGAAAGTGAAAGACAATCGCTTGTCTTAAGTACATGATCACTTGCATTACAATTGAAAAAGTGGTTTTTTCTGACAAAATTACAATTTAAATATTTTGTAATTCTACCTACGCATAGTTCAAAATGAAAATCCTATTCAATCTATGGTTAAACATTCTTTTAAGATGCATATTTGGACTGCAATCAATGTTAAAAAAAAAATTAGCATGCACATTTTTAAAGAAAATCTTGCTCATTACTTGTATCACAAAATTCTTAATGATCATCTCTACAATAATGCAAATAGATTATTAAGTTATTACTAGATTTTTTAGCAAAATAATGACCTAAAACATACTTTCAATAATATTAGAAAAGACTTGAAGACCCACCTTACAAATCAGGTTCTTCCGTGATCCTCTTATAGTCTAGACCTCAATCTAATTGAAAATGTTTGAACCAATTTAAAGAAAAAAATTAAAAAAAAATTAAAAAAATGGTAGCATAAAAAAAGAAAATATCCAATAATATTTTTATTAATGTAATTCGTGAAGAATGTGATAATCTTGATAATTCTGTTTTAATTAACTGTATCAATAACATGCTAAATCGAATTCAAGCATGTATTGATGTAGATAGAGAATATACCAAATATTAATTATTTAATAAAACTTATAGCTATAGTTTTTATCTTTATTTTAAAAAAAATTACATGTATAAGGTTAAAAAAACTGTCTGCTATTACTTTTAGCGAGAATTGTAAATATAGAATAAATTATCAATTTGTAAAAATCTATATATAAAATTGATATTAATTATTTCTTGAGAAAAGTTTCTAAACCTTAACCTGAAATGATTTCAAATAAACACAAATATTTACTTATAAAATCTATAATTTTCTTAGTAATTATATCTTTAGCAACTGTAAGAAAGTTTTTTTTAATAATAAGAAGTGATTTTTGTTATTTTTTATTAAAATGATAATTGTGGCATTTTAAAGTAGAGGTACCAGTTTTGTAATCATATTTAAATATATGTTCACAAGTTTTACATATAATAAAACTAATAAATTGGTCATTTATATCAATAATTTCATTAAAATTCATTTAATCTTCACTTTTGCCACTTTTTTCTTAATATTTTAATTCTTCTTTTTTTAATTTTAAGACAACTTATTTGATTGTTAAATTTGATATTTTTATTTTTATTTTTAAAAAAATTTTTAACATTGCATGACAATAAATTTAAAAATAATTAATAACAATAATAATTATACAATTAGTGATGACTAAATTTAACTAAATAATAATTTTTACCAAAATTATAAAAAATCTGAGCTGGTATTTTGAACCCAGAACTGATCTGAAAAATTCTAAACTTATTTTTGCCAGCCTAAATCCAGCATGAAACCCAGGTCTGTATCAGGTTTCTGCATCAGATCTAGCCTGTTGCAGGTCTCTATATATTTATCTTTAAAAAAAATTACTAGTTAATTACTTTTTTTTTTTTACTAAGAAAATATCATAAAATTTATTATAATTTTTTTAATAATATATTTTAAAATATTTAAAAATAATTAAAATTATTTAAATTAATAAATAAAATTGCTTACAAATTTGTAACCAAAACAATTAAAAAAAATTTACTTATAAATATAAAAAAATATTATACTTATTTAATAATTTAAATATAATTTTTATAAGATAATTTAGATAATTTAAATTATTTATTATTTTAATTTTCTTAAAATTTTAATTTTTAATTAGATTTTTTTACAAAATATTTATTTGTAATTATTTTATTTTTATTTTACATTAGTTAAAAAAAAAAAAATAGATATTTATAAATAATATCCAATCAATATGTTTAATAAGAAAAAAACTTTAAAATAATAATTGTTATAATAACATTTTATAAGCATTATTCTATACATAATTAATAATAATTCTTACAAATACACTTAATACATTATATACCTAATGTAAGTTAATTATAATGATATTTAATATAAAATTTAACTAATGATATTTTATATTAAATCTTTATAATTAAATTTGTTCAACTTTTGAAATTATCAATATTACATATCTATGAGAAAAATGTGGTTATATAATAGAGAATATAAAGCTCTATTTTTCCCTCGATATTCTTTGGGACGGCATTATTTCGTAATAAATTAATCAATGACAATATCTGTTGACAAATAGGATTTCATTTACGGGTATTCTATAGTTACCCCTTAAAATATAGCCCTTTGCCGGGGGAAACCAATCAATGATAAATTCGGGATGTTCTCAATCAATCATATTTAGCACACTAACTAATTTTGAATTTGTCGGCAGTTTCCCCCCTTTCCATTGCCCTTAAAAAGGTGGAGGTAGGTTACACGGATGACAATGAAGTAATGTGGTTGAAATCTTTTTGTCAATGGTCAAATGCAGTTCGTGATTATCATATGAGCGGCGCAGCAGTGAAAATCAATTTTCGGAAAAAAGCTAATTAGGAAACTGGAAATCACGTGTTATACATTTTTCTTTCGCCTTGCATCTATTTTGTTGGCATATTATAGTTCATTTTCAATAATTCCAAATGAATCTTTTATCTGTAATCGTGTACATTACAATAGGATGACTTTTGTAAAAAATAAATTTGTCAGTTCAATGTTATTAGAAACTTTTTGAGTAAAACTCAAATGATTTTCTTAACCAATTTTTCCATGAATTCTTTCGAATTTCATTTCATTTGTGTAATTATGTTGTCCAAGCTTTGAATATTGATTTTTGAACATTCTGTATATAATAATATATTGTTTGTTATATAGTCATGAATTCGTACAAATGAAAACAGTATGGTAAATAAATTTTCACAAAATTACATTCTTTTTTTCCTCTCTCTTTCTCACACTCTCGATAAATTAATAAAGATTATTAACTTAAAATATACCGAACTCCTAGTGCTTTGAAAATAAATACAATAAATAAAACATCATCTACTAAAAGTAAAAAAAAAAAAAGATAATTAATCTTTATTTATTATATTTATACTATATATGAGCATACTAATTAAGTAAAATATATATACGTATTTATAGAAAGAAAAAAAGAAATATTGTTGGTTTATACAAGCTAAAGTACAGCCCATCTATAATCAATTACTGACAGGTGATACATGCGGTAGCTGGTTCTACCATTCCATATTGTCTGTTTCCCAACTATCCCACCCATGTGTGTTGCCAGCCCAGTCTGTCGTTGGAGTATCCCAGTCTGTTGTTGGAGTATCCCAGGAATGGTTTTCACGCAAGTTGATTACTTCATTCTCATCTTCCTCATCGTCGTCATCGTCAGCATCGCCCCAACCACCAGTATTCTCATCGTATTCCATTTCAACGTCCCAACTAGAAAAGTTAAAGTGTAAACCACCAATAATTTCAGAAATAGACAAATCGATATCACTGTCTGACATGTATCTGAAATTGCTTGAAAGATATGATCTCTTCTTTCGTTTGATAGGAGGTCCCAAGTTGCATCTCGTTCCATCAGGATTAGCATGCTGATAAAAGCAAGCATCAGCAAAAGGGCATGTTCTAGATTCTTCAAAGTATTTACAAGGGATACGAGAAATTTTTTCTTTATACGTTGAAATTATTTGATCCTTTTGAGTTCCTGATTTTGCAAAACGAGGTGATGGGACAATGTATGGAGAATTCTTTCTGCACACGGGACATGTCTTGGTAGTATCAACATCTTGAAAAGGACTTGAGACGTTACTTGTTTTGCGCCATTCTTGTATACAATTGCGACAAAATATATGATCGCATTGTACAAGCAATCCAAACATTTTAGGAGTTTCATAGCAAATAGCACATGTATACTCCTCTTCAACAACCTCTTTTGCTTTTTGTTTGTCTTTTGGATTTTTCAAGTCATTTTTCTGACTACAATTAGTGCTAGTAGAACTCTCTATATTAGTGTCATTCTCGGGTTTTTCATGTCTATTCCAACAGGACTCTCCAAACATACAACGATTTTCCAAGAAGAATCTGCAAATCGGTGAATCTTCAGGAGCACTCTTATTTCTATGGCGGCTCGAGTTAGAATTTGGCTTATTCGACGTTGAGGAAGAACTTTCCCCATTACTCTGGTTGGATTGTGCAGTATCCTCACTGTTACTATTGCTTTGAGAACTACTACTATCTTCTTGTATGTGCAAAAAATGACAACTTTCCCCTCTGTTACAACATCCGTTAACAAAATACCTGCAAATTGGACGTGAAGGATTCGAGTTCACTGAAATAACTCTTTGAGAAGACATGATCAATAAGTCTAATGAGAAAGAATAGTGAAGGGTTTATTATTATTTAAATAGGAAAATTTAATTTTTTCATGAGCAGCGAAAAAAAAAAAAAAAACTATTGTGGCTATATCAAACCTATATCACACAATGTTAATATTAAAATTATAAATTCCGCGGAAATTCCGGAAATTCCGGAAAAAATAAAAAGAATTTTTAGTTCGGAATTCCACGTGAAATTGTTCAATGTTATAAAAAAAGAAAATTTTTTTAAACTTGAAAATATTTAAATGCGTCAGTGTCATTGACGCATATTTGAAACAGTTTGGAAGGCATATATATGAATGCTTATCAATTTGAAAAAACGTAATGGCCGAAATCGGATAAAAGATATAATATCCATCGATTTGTCCAACGAACCAAATTTATTTTGTTTCGAAAATGTTATAATGCATAAAATATTTTAGTTCGTAAGAAATATACAATTTTATCTTATCAACTCAGGTTACATCGGCTGATCAATTTGATCAATTGAAATTTGGATTATTGAAATTATGAATATTTTATTTTAAATTTGCAGACATTTATCTAATTGAATAATCTAATAATGTAAATATGATATGTATAAATATATTTTAATATATTTTTTATTAATTTATTATTAGATATTTTATGCTTATTAAGAAATTTTGATAAAATAATCAATTTTAAAAACAAGCTTCAGATCAATTTTACACATAGATACAATTGGAACTTTAATTATATAATTTTTTGTTTTTTCTTACAAAGTCAATAGTGATAGACACAATTAAAGCATTAACAATGTATATATGTATATTAATTAATTAGGACGCAATCATTTTAATTTAATAAACTCTCTTGTTACATTTTCTATAGTCTATTTTATTACTTAATTTTGTTACGTTTTCTATAGTCTATTTTATTACTTGATTTTGTTACGTTTTCTATAGAATTTGCTTGTGTTACATTTTTTGGGCCTGGCTTCATTATTTGACTAAAAAAATTGTGTTCCTAAAAAAATTTTTTTCCAATTCATCCATTCGTGCAACCATTTTCAAGAAATAGCGATTTAAAAGAGGAAGAACTTCACTACGAACCTCTTCACTAACAATACTAATATTTCAGAAAAGAGAGCTGAAGTGGAACGCATCCTTCCTTCATGTGATGATAATGAAGAGGTGGTTGCTTATTTCAAAGATCTCTTAAAACCTGGTATGTTCGCTCTTTGCTTGTCATATTTGCAAAATACCGAATACTTACTTATTCTTGTGATTTTCTTTCCTGCTTCCTATCTTCAACCCCGCCCAAGAAAACACATTCAAAATTTCCGTAAAACCAGCTGTTGCCACCGGTAAGTGAGGTAATAAATTAGTCAACGCGAGCGAACGCGTCCTTGTTGATTCTTTTTTATAATATTAAATATTCCAAACTTATACTGATCCTTTCGCTTAACTTATCTGAAAGATGATAATCTGACGAAATTTATACGATCTTTGAGAAATACGATATTTGATGCAGAAAAGTGATATTTTCAAACTGAACAAGAATACCAAATTTTTTGGACTAAGTAATGAAACATCAAGTCCGTTTATTCGTAAATGCTACGGTGATCTGCTCGATGTCGTTCAAAATAATAAGAAAATTGTGTATCTCTGGTAATTCTGGAATCGGAAAAACTTTTTTCGGTTATTACAATCTCGTGAAAATAATGCAACAATTGTAACAATCTCCATAATATGAAAAATAAAGTTATTTCTTTAATGGGAGTAGTGGCTTCTATCTTAACGAGATGCTTGATCATAACGCTATAAGAAATTACCTGTATAACGAAAATACATGGTATATTGTGGGCTGTTGCTAAGACGATCCTTATTTGCTAACCAAGGAAGGACTACTAACATGACTTTGATAAGAGTAACCGCGATATTCGAATCATGCCAGCTTGGACCTGGGAAGAAATGGATTATTGCAGGCAAAAGATTTCAATCATCTTAAAAAGGAATTTGTTTAGCAGTTATATTTGAAATGGGGAGGGATCCCTCGGTATATTTTGCAGAGTGCTCAAAAATATTCAATTCACTTAAGCTCCAACAAGCGATTGACTCTTGCGATGAAAGAATATTAGAATGTATTGGCGGAAGCGATAGCGATCAAGACGTGAGTCACAAGCTCATCCATATATGGACAAACGTGGATAATTATATTACATAAAGGGTAAGAGTAGCATTGAAAAGGATAAGAGAAGTATTAAAGACGAAGTCAAGTACATTGATAAAGGAGAATACTACACGCAAACAATTATAAAATTTGCATCTAACTACGTAGGTGAAAGGGTGACTAAGAGACTCAAAAATCATATAATAACCGATTACAGTCAGAAGTGGAAGCAAATACATATTCCTTTTTACCATCTTTTAGAAGTAAATCTACCTGAATTTCTAAATTGTTATCTTCAAACTGTAGCATAAGTTTTTCATATCTAAAATAAATAAATCATTAATTAATTAAATGAATTTTATTGTAAATAAATTATTACTGTATTTATAATAAAATATTTTATTACTCGGTCATCTTTACAATTATTAAGCCATCATTTTACAGTTAAACTTCTAATAAAAATAATTAAATATTATTGTTAATTTAATTTTACAAATAATAATAATTTGTCACCTTTAAAAGATAATTACCTGATCTTCTTTATACACTCAATTCCAAGTTTTGGTAAAATAGTATTTGAGAAATAATTTACAAAGTCAACAACATAAAACTCAAATTAGTTTTTATGTAAATATGAGAAAATCTCAGCTTAAATATCTTCATTCTTTAAAAGACTTTAATTTTAGAATGTTTTTCTTAAAAATGAATCTAAAAAATCATCTCTAGTTTTTAAGATTTTAACCTATTCCTGAATTGATTATACAAGAGATAAACTTGCTTACATTTTTAATTTATTAAATTAAAGATATTGTAAAACTGCTACTAATATCAATAAATTTAATAATATAAAGTATTATCTAAGCCTTATATCTCATAATTTTATATAAAATTAATTTATCAAAATATTTATATATATATAATACTTTTATATTTTATATTGCATAATAATTCAATATTTTACAATGCATATAATTTGATATTTTACAATATATAATAATTTAAAGGATTACAATATGAAAGTTTTATAATACATAGTCTTTAAAAATTTATGATATATAATTCTTCAAAGGTTTATAATGTGTAATTCTTTAAAGTTTATAATGCATAATACTTTAATTGTTTATGATATAAAATTCTTCAAGTTTATAATGTATAATTTTTTTATAGATGCATTTACTTCATTTGGATCTGATAGAGGTTAAAATAATACCTTATACTCGTTAAACTTGAGGTTTTACAACTGCTAAGGGTATACGTAACTATATTACATACATCTATTTAAGGACTATCATTTAGTAATTATAGTTCACTTCACTCAGATTTGATTCTGAAATCCACTTAATTAACATCCTATATTAACTTAGTTATTAGAAGGCTCACTTCAATTATAGTAATTGACAGTTACTATCTTTACTAATCTAATTTATAAAAGTTTATCCTATTAATAATTACTGAGACTGTGAGATTAGGTTCTTTATATAGACAATGACATAGTGTTTATAGTATTAAAGTCACCTAAAAATCGAATCTAACCTATAACCTTACTGAATAATATGATTTAACTCAGATCTGTGATATACAATACAGTTTATTGTATTTAAGACACTTCAAATTTATTAATTACTGATTAATTACTTCCTTACTTATATAAGGATTCCTGAGTTTAAAGACATAAAATAATATTTATTATAGACCTATTAGTGAAGGTCAAGTTTTTATCAATCTCTGACTTTATATATTCTTCAAACCCAATATTTAAGCATGATAAATATCAATCAATACATTGATTGATCAGTTATTAGTATATATATTCATATATTCAGTTACATATAAAAGTTTAAATGTATAATAATTTAAAGGTTTATAATAGAATTTTATTATTTATACCCTAATTAATAATAATTAATTTTAAAATATTTTAGTAAATTCTTATTATCTGAAATATAAAAATAGAATATTTTTAGTTAATACTAAAATTATATACAGTGTGAGACAAAAAAAACCAGAATTTTTTTTGAGAAATAAAATGATGCAGATCTCAGCCAAATCAAGTCCGATCTGAACTATGTAAAAAGAAAAATAATAATAAGGTAAGTGAGTATATAATTTTTTTTTTTTGTATTACTAAATATTAAAATTTTTTTTCATTTCCTTCTCTCAATATCTTCAATTTTTTAAAAAAAACCTAAAATTCAATTAATTAGAAACGATGACCTCTAGACAAGAAACTAACCATCAAGCGATCTTACAATTATGAAATTGGGGTATTCAGAAGGCTAGAAAAATTCATCAACGCACTGAAATTTCTCTCACGACTGTATATGACAACCTTACCAAGCTTCGTGAGTCTGAGACAATTCAGCGTGTAAAAAGAAGTGGTCGCTCAAAAAAAATTACGGCTAATGCATCAAGAGCATTAGCCCAATTTGTCTGCTGAGATTCTTCTATTTCAACAAGGACCCTATCAACAAGGTTATCATTGAAAGGTGTGGATGTGTCATATAGGACAGTAGGAAGGCATTTAGCCGAAATTGGATACTAAAAAGATCTTCTAAGAGCAACGCTGATGCTGACCGCAGACCATAAATGTAAACAGGTAGAATAGGCCCAAAATCATCTTAATGATGATTGAGACAAAACTTTGTTTTCAGATGAGACTACCTTCCAACTGTTCTGGAATACTATAGAGCGCTGGCATAAAGACAACGACCAATACGCTCTATGCCTAAAGATCAAATAAAAATCTTTGCATGAGAAGGATTTTATGTAAAAGAAAAAACAAGTTTATATTGTTTTTCTCAAATAATGAATGCTGAATTTTATGTAAATATACTCCGTAACCACCTTCCAGAGATTAAAGACTTGTTGAGAGATGAATGGCGTTTTCAGCAAGATAATGATCTAAAACACATCAGCAATCATGCCAAAAAATTTCTTCGGGAAAATTTTTCTGAAGTTATTGACTGGCCTTCTAACAGTCTGGACCTAAATCTGATAGAAAACCTTTGGAGTATTGTTAAAAGGAATGTGGAGAAGAAAATGCCAAAGAATAC